CTTTTATGTACTATTTATAGGAAATATTTTTCTATATTTCAACAAAATGCGTCCATTGAATAAGACTTGACCTTTGGTATCTTGTAACATAATATAATGTAAATGTGGTACTGTATGCTTAAGTATTTTTCTCTGTTTCAAAACTTCTTTATTTTTGAAAGAGTGTACACCATACTATCTGTCCTTTTTTGGGAAAGAAGAGAATTAACAGGAAACAGTGTGGCAAACAAAGGCAACATATTATACCAGTCTAACTTCCAAATGGAGTTAACACCAGCTTGTCAAGATTCTGGGTGAGGAAATAGGTCATGGGCCAGCCTAGAATGCACAGGTGTACTGGGCAGGGTCCCAACCACCCTCTTCAGAGGATGCTGGAACTGGGACTGTGGTCCCTACCTGAGACAGTGTGTCCTGGCTCTTGGCTTGCACAGTGAAAACTTGCTCCAGATCTTGCAGTGTCATCCTTCAATTGTAGTGACCAGTCACTGTGCTTTTGGAGCTGAGAGGGCTGAGTTATAAAGTGGAGAATAAGATGCAACCTGACCAGCAGGATGGCAGTGGCAAATATTACAAGAGCAGAGGCCCTAAAGTCAGAACCCTGAAGCTTCCCAGTTCAGTCACCCTGAGTTGTTGACGGCATAGCAGCAGCTAACTCGGGCAAGTGACCTGATATTGGTAAACACCAACTTCTCCCTCTTACAGGGACATTTGCAGTGGTACACACTCCATGTCATTATTGTGCTTAAGTAAAATAGTGCTTAGTGCACTACCTGGCAAGTGCCAAGTGCTCACTAACTAGTAGCTGTGGTGTTATCATTGCTGCAATTGCTAGACCTTTCATGGGTCTTGTGTTTAGAGGCTGTGTGTTCTCATGTAATAATAGTAATATCCATGGTGTTGGTAGTGACAGAAGTAATCATGAAACTAATCAAACATTTCTTATATTTGGAAAAAAAGGAAAGTTAGAGCTGGAAGTAATATTTGAGAAGATTGAATAAACCTAAATGATCTTATATATAGATGAACTGAGGTGCGGATGGAGGAAGAGCAGTCACATACAGGGAAGGCAACACAGGACCTTGGGTCTTCTAATCATCAAACCAGTGCACTCTGACTGGACGAGGGAATGAAGCACATGGGCTGGTTTCTGCACACAGCACCTATGACAGTTTCCACTCTCCTGAAAGTGCAGTGAGACCCTTCACCATCCTGTGGCAGAGGTGTTGGTGAGACTTTGTCACAGTTCCCTAACTGCTTTGGCTCTGGCAAATGCTCCCATGGGTCAGCATTTATCAAAAGAATGAAGGGTCAAAAGTGAGGCAGATTACAGGTGTAGACCATGGGATGGGGAAAGCATGCTGCAAGACAGGACACAGTCTCCAGCAATATCCTGTATGGGTCTCAGGAATTGTGTAGGAGTTTATAATCTTGGAGGTAGAAGTTGACCCTGTATGTGTTTTGTAAAGCATAAAGAAAGAGGGAAATTGTCCCTCATTTATTGATTAATTGATTCATTCATTTATTTATTCAACCAATTAATCACTCACTCAGTTTTCACTTTTATACTCAGTGTTACTTGAGGATTAGGAAAAGGAGAAATATGCAATTATACCTACATTCACCATGTAGATCCTTCCTTCAAGGATATTACTGTCTTGGCTTCATAGCCACCTGCTAACTGCTCAAAATATCATTGCCAATCATTTCTAGGGCTCAGCCTCCACTCCCTGATGATCTTGACTTCATTCTTGCCTTGAAGATATGCTGGTATCAGAGGGTAAAAGGAACACGGTCTTCAGGAGATAGAAAACAAGAGGCATTTTAGCTGTAGCCAGAAGCTAGAACCATAGGATCCTCTTTTGACTGAAATACACATAAGAACTACTTCTTAATTTTTCTGAACCTTTTCATGATCAAAGAGAATGATACCTATTAGTATTTGATTATGATTGCCAAGATTTTTGGCAGTTTGGGCATGTTCATAATCTAGCACAAATGAAAACAATAAGAACTGACTTTCTATAGTGTAGCTGTTGGTGGCAGTCAATGGGAAGCCCAATACCTGAGTGCTGGGCCATATTTCGTGAGGAAGTTCAGCAGCTATCATTTAATAGTGATGGTAACTTGTGCAGATATCATGTTCCAGATTTCCTCTCTGTTACATGCGAAAATATTGGTATTTGCCTCATGAGCATGTGATTTAAAAGAACTTAGAATAGGCATAGGGATTGTGATTTTATATTTTACTAGAAAAATTACAGTGTGGCTTTTGTTTGGTCCTCTCTCAGACTATCCTTAAATGTGAACTTTTGATATTCAGCAACTAGGACTATGAACTGCTGCATCTGCTCTCATCTTCAACTCTGATCTCAGTCCTTGGCACATAGTAGGCACTCAGATAATGCTAGTTAAATCAAGGCTGATGAAGGATGTGGGTGTGAAGTAGGCTCTGGAAGGTGGGAAGATTTGGAGTTAGAGAGAAGGCATGTAAGGAAAGCTCACTGTCCAGGACATTATGCATCTTGAGAGAACCATTCCTACACACAAATTTAACTCCCCCCAAAATAACTAAACTGAGCCAAATCTGAAGTACCAGTTCTTCCCATGATCATGTCATCTGGATGAATGGTCAGGCAGAAGGATGGTGCAGTGTTGGGCTTTGCTGCTTGCATAGTGATAGTCTCAGGTTGAAGAATCTTGGGAGGATACAACAAATCAATTCTGTGGAAGGAAGAAGGGCTATTCAGGCATATTGAGTGGGGTGATGTCCTGGAACGCAAGTAGGAGAGCTGGAGAGCAGTAAAGCAGGAATTTCCCAATTTGATGGCCACTGTGAAGTTTAAACTGTGGGTACCCTGAGTGAAGGATGGGATCAGAGAATGAAACCAGATAGCGTCTGTGATCCTTACTAATTCTGCTTCCTGTAAGCCTTGTGGATGTGTCTGTGTAGGTGCTGGTATGGATCCACGGAGGTGGTCTGTTGTTTGGTGGGACACCAGCCTACGATGGACTGGCTCTTGCTGCCCTTGAGAATGTGATTGTAGTGACCATCCAGTACCGTCTGGGCATTTGGGGCTTCTTCAGGTAAGATTCTGGACTCTTCACACATTAGCTTTTGTGTTAGTGTGTTTTCTGTGACATGAAAACTACCTGATCCTAGATGATTACTTTAAAGTAACAAATTTATTTGTTTTATTCCATCACCAGGGGTTTCATTCAATTAGTCTTTGGTGATAGTGCTCTGGCTGTGGCACAGAATGGTGGAGATCAGAAGGGGAATATTCAGCATGTAGAATGTGTCACAGGAGCCAGGGGGAAAAGTCAAGGGCAGGCCTGCTGATTCATAGCACATTGTTCTTTTCATAACTAACCAGCATCTCATGGGTTGTATACTAAACTCTTCTAAGGGCAGCAGCCCCAGTATTCCAAGCTACAGGCACATTAGGGATCAACCCTTCAAAACAAGATCCCTTGGAGTGGTGGGCCAGTTACCTCATACAAACAAATCTATAGGAACAGCCAAGAAGTATGTGAGGTCTAAGATGTCATCATGCATCTCTCAAAGCAAGCTTTCCTGAGGATGTCAATGATATAGTCCTTTCGTTACTGTACTCCAGTCAATTTTTCACTGATCAATCACACTTGTCCATTTGGTTATGGGCTTTTTCATGGGTTGAGTCTCTCTTGTTGGAATGCCTGATCCACCTACCAATCTCTTTTTCATTCTGGAATTCTCAGACTTCATGCTATTGTCACTGAAATATTCAATTCTTTTTTTTACCTCTGCTGTATCCCAGTGCCTACCAAAGTCAGGAAAAGGCACTCTTCTCCACAAGTCTCCTTTAATTGGGGAGAGCATTCAGCAGATAAATTAAGTGCTGTGCATCTCTTGGGAAGCAGGAAGAGGCAGTTTCAGGGAGAGAGTGCAGATAATGTTTTCTGAGAGAGACTTTCAACCAACTCACTGCCAGGTTCTTCTCATAGAGGACAATAGTGACCCAAAGCTCCTGCTCCTGCCCCATGGGATTTCTCAGCACAAGGCACATAGAGTCTTTCTGAAGGGCTTCCAAATTCTGTCAATCTACAACCTCCTGGGCTGCTCATCAGCCACTTTGTTAATCCCACCACATTCTCAACCTTATGTTTCTCTCTCCCCTTCTCCCTTAATTTCTGAGCACTTTTTCAACTTCTTGTTTGGATTATGCACCTCTTTTATTGCCAGGTGGCATCATTAGACATCTTCTCCCATTCCCATGGATGTCTACAAGGTGCCTCCCACTTGATGTCCACTGCTTCTTAACCAACAAGGATTTTTCTCTCTTCCCTAAAAGCCCACAGGCCACTTTCTAGTAGCTCTATTTTCCTTGCATTTCAGGATAGCAGCCAAAGAAAAGATGAGAGGTCTCTATTTAACTTTCTTTCACTAGTTCCACTTGGTCAGCAAATATTCCTGACTCTAACTTTAAAGTAGATTTATCCAACCTTTGGTCACCTACTCTCTCAGACCAAAATCAAAGATCCAGATGCTCATTTTATTCAGAACTTTAACAAATGCTAAAGCAGCAGAGAAGCTCTAGTAGTCATGGGATCTAAAATGTCACTGTGTTGTCCCACATTTGCTTCTTTCTTTACCTGGCATTATTTTTCCTCAAGCAATTTTCAATAGTTGATGGGATATCCTCTTTTCATTTGTTTGCTGACTGTAATGTAAGCTGAGAGGGATCAACACATAGAGTTTGCCTATTTTGTTCCCAGATGCGACCTAGCCCTTAGATCATCATTGGATCAGTAGTAGATGGTCAGTTTACAGTGGCTAGAAGATCGAAGATAAAATGCTCCATGGAATACTACTGTAGGAATGAGAGGCAGAATAAGGCCACTGTATCAGCCACAAAGAGTCCAGCCCCTTATTCTGGAGACTGAGAGACCTCAAATCATTTCAGTCCTAAGAGCATCACTGTGATAGTTCTGATTTGCTCCCACCTCTCTGTCTCTTGCAGCACAGGGGATGAACACAGCCCAGGGAATTGGGGTCACTTAGACCAAGTGGCTGCATTACACTGGGTCCAGGACAACATTGCCAACTTTGGGGGCAACCCAGGATCAGTGACCATCTTTGGAGAATCAGCAGGAGGTGAATGTGTCTCTGTTCTTGTAAGTCTTCTGGTCAACAGATTCCCATCCTAGACTTGCTATGGGTGCTGGTGGAATGTCTTGGGAAGCAGCTATTCCAGTCATAGGTGCCTCTATTTACTCTCTATAAGACCTGTATTCATTGCTGAGCTTACTCAGTGCTCATATCAGCTCGTGAAGAAATGAGGCTCAACTCTCCATACATTAAAGGTAGTTTAGAGACAGATTGATTTCCTGGGACTGTAAGAATTTCGTGCAATAGCAATATTACTTTTCTGATTGAGTTTTCACTGATCTTTCTAATCATTTTTATTAAGTTTATAATTTATTGGTGTTTTACTTTATTAATTTTTAACTGGTAACTTAATTTATGAACTTTATTGACACAATTTGGATAAACAATGTAACATTCATCGCAGGAAATTTGTACCATATCTGTTGTGTCTTGATAGTTTTGTTCCCTCACCCTCTCCCTTTCCTTCAAGCCCTCTTCCTAGGCTTATTTACAAGTATTTGGTTACATTTTATCCTTCTTTTTAAAATTTCTATTTTTCCTTTCCTTAGGGCCAGCCAAATAGTTTAGGAGATTAAAGTGCCTGCATGCAGACTCAAGGGCCAGGGATGGATCCCAGGGCCTGCCGAGCTGGCCCCGCCCCTGGGGCGGTCTCAGAGGACAATTGAGATTGGACGTGTGCCTGTAATCCCAGCTCTTGAGAGACTGGAAACAGGCGTATCACTATAA